CATCAAAACTCTACAAATTTATTTTTAATATTTCTGCAAACCTCATGTTCTATTTCCAGCACATGAAGTTCATACTGAAAAAAAGTCCTTTCTCTGGCCTAAAACTTTTGTAACAATAAAATAAATAAATAATAATTATAATAACTAGATAGTGTAAATTGTGTCCTGAACTAAGTGTTAGTATCATCTGCAAAGAGAATCTATATTAGAAGTCCAGACACATCACAAATATAATTTATATACATAAAATAAAAACTGGGCCAAGCACCGACCCCTGTGGCACTCCACAAATGATTCTGATCTGTAATCAGACAACTTCACAAACCAGTTCCATCCACTTTAATTTCATACCATTCCACTTTAATGAGCATGTAAATATCTTAAGACAGTTGATCCTGGTACTTGAGGGTTTTTTAATGAATGTGTGATTATCAGGCCGAACATGAAAACACAGTTCAGGTGTGTTGGTTTGTAAAACATGCAGGGTAGCAGTACTCCAGGACGGAACTGAACGCCTGTTTTATCCTGATGAAACCAAAAACTGTATCTGGGTTCTGGTTGAGTTCTGTGCACTCTGGACTCGGCAGGTTTTGTGCTGTGCATTGTGGGTCGCCTCCTCCATAGAGGAACAAACTCAGCCTCCTGGATGTGACGCCACCTTGATGTTCTCCTCAGAGACCCCGGTCTCGTCTGACTCTGGCTCGGACATCAACCACAGGTCTCTGTCTCCGTGGAGCTGGAGGTCAGTACTGTAGACCTTCTGGCTTCTGGTTCTGCTGTCTTGACCCATCATCTGGTTTTTGATTGTGAAATTTGTTCATGCAGCTCAACTACGGTCAAGAACCGGATCCCCTCCACCCTCTGGAAGGCCGAGTGCAACAGCAACTACTGTGAAAGTCCGAACCCAGGTCTAGAGGATTATCACGACCTGGAATCAAAACCCGTTTATCAGACCATCCTGGTTCTGAATCGGAAGGAGGGTGAAAGGTGCTACACGGTCTCGTTCCAGTCCATACCTGTCGGCTGTACCTGTGTCAGGCCCAAGATTACTTCTGAGCCTATACAGCTGTAATCAGACTTTATTTATTTTACACCATCTGTCCTTTCATATATATATATATATATATATATATACATTAGAGGTAGCCTATTTGTTGACAGAATTTCAAGACAAACCTGTGTTCAGTTTGCTCAGAGCCTGCCATGAATGATTTTACTATAAATCTCCACTAAATGTTGCACAAAGCTAAATATGAGAAGTTTACTGAAGTCACAAATATTTAAACAAAAGACATTTTTACCAGAACCAGAACCAGGCAGGAGTCTGAACTCAAGGAGTCTTTTGTTGTTACACTTCAGTTCACTAAAGTAAGTTTTTATGTTTTGTTTGCTTCAGATATTTTGTATTCATATTTAACGAACGTTTGTTCTACATGCATTTGACCATGAAATGTGCTCAGTTTCTGCACCATATGTTTGTTTTATAAACATATTTTACATAAACATTTTTAAAATGTCACTTTCACTTCATTTGGGTTGGTGTGTAGCACTATGTGGCACTCCTCTAGTGTTGACAAAAAAATGGGGCCCATTCCATCATTTAAGTTGCCCATCCTTATAACTCCACAAGTCCCGCCCCTTTTCTGGGGCGTGTCTCAGATCAACTCGTTTTAAGGCTGCCTCTTTGAATCCAAACCAGGCGGTTCATACCCCGCCCCTTCCAGCTTCCAGAGCGGTTCGTTGTAGTTTGATAGAGGAGTTTACGGCTATATAGCTGCACAGAAACCTTTTTTTAACAAATAAATTATAAGATAAGAACAAGGGAAGACTTGTCCATCCAGCCTTACATGTTGGAGACAGAGTCTGACCCCGAACCAAGGACAATAAAGACAACCAATCTGTAGTCCAGACCTTACTTGGCAGTTCTATCACAAATAATTAGACTAAATTAATCTTTTCTGCCCCCTAGAAACTCATACAAAATGTATTTAATGAGTAAAAAAAGTGTATTTTGCAGATTTGTCCCTTTTAAACTGGACACCATTGGCTGTAGTGTTATTGGTTTCATGGTTTTTGTTTTTAAGTAAACTCAGATGACCCGATGTGAAAGTTGGATGACGTTGGCGTGTAGAGCGCTGATTCCAGTAATCAGAAATAAACTTAATGACTTGTCGGATAATTCCTCGTCCTCTTTCACCAAAACAGGTCAGAATGAAGTTGCTGAAATCGACTCAGCTCTGAACCTAACAGGTGACCACATGAAAGTCAGAAGACACCACGACTGCGATGTCACCGCGAGGGGCGAGGCGTCCGCCGCCGCTCCAGTCCAGATAGATAAATCAGATAAAGGCGAGATCAAATGAACGTTTGTGATCTCACGTAGAACGAGTAAAGCGCCGCCGCAGCAGAAAAGACCAACTGATGTGTGTGAGAGATATGAATCAGTTTGCAGCATCTGCAGCGAGTTTCTGGTTGTCAGAGCTGACAGGAAGTCACAAACAGAAATTTGTCTCAACAACAGTTTATATTGATGCAACTTTCATTTCTTTATTCTTCTATCTCCACCATTTCAAACTGTGTGGAGGAAAAACAACTATTTTATCCAGAACTGCAACAAAAAGCTCATCTAAAAGCCACATTTTTCAGGACAGCTCCAAGTTTAAACATTTGTTTTATATTTATTTTTAAAAATCACGTAAAACACATCATTAATGGATAAAATAAGTTTCTAATCTGAGTGGTTCTCAAGCTTTTTTGACTTGTGTACCCCTGAGCCATTTTGTCATACCACTATTACCCCTCTGTCCAATGTAATGATGATTCTCTGAAACTACAATGTACAAAAGCTGATTATTAAATGAAAATTATTTATTTAACCCCCCAGAACATTTATTTATGTTACACAGTGAGAGGGGACAGCTGTAAAATGTTTCAAACTATTTTCATACATGCCTGACTTCCCACAGTTCAGCAGATAAAGTACATGTTTGCATTTGTAACGTGTTTTTTGAGCTCAACAATCATGAAACAGCTGCTGCAGGGTAGGAGGAGCTCATGAGCTACTCTGCGGCTGCAGAAGAAGTGAAAGTTAAGTTAGCTGCAATCTTACCGTCACTGTATCATCTTGTTTAAATGCTGATATTTCAGTGGACATGGCTCAGTTTGCTTGTAATATCTCATGTCTCTGTCTCTTTAACTACTGTGTGAGTTTCAATGATGTCAGTTCAACTCAGTTCTCGACGCCCCCAGCTGGACGGTGCTCTTAGCGTTAGCCTACACCGCCTATGACACGGCGGCCCTGCTCCTTGTGGTCTTTTTGTGTAATTTAAAGTTCAGATTTTATGTCTGAATGTTCGACCCAGACAAAAAGAAAAAAAAACATGTAGATTATATTCA